AAAAGATCCGGTCTTTTAAACCCCCTCACAATTGTAATGCTGTCATGATATCTTTTATTCATATATCGGGGCCCCCCAGTGAAGGTTCATGGCAAAAATACTTTTGCCGCAACACCATCACCGTGTTGATTTTCTTGCACATCGTCTCGCAAATCCTAATAATATTCCGACCGCAAATTTTTCTTATAAAATCTCACTCATTTTAAGCGAAGGGATTCAACCTGAGCATACGTCATGCAATAAAATTTGTGGAAAAGATATGCTGCATAAAGGAAGCAAGGTCTTTCACCATTGTGTTCGGGAAGGTGAAATGCATAGTACTCCTTGACACTAAGTCCTGACGGTCATCCAGCTTCCGAGGCACACCGGACAGACCAGCTATCAATTCCCTCAAGGAAAAGCAAAACAAACCTCAAATAGTCATGCGCTCGGGAACATTCCGGAACCACAACCGTTTGTCGCTCATCCGGAAGAGGAGCACGCAAACGAATCTCGAGCTCACGAGGAAGAAGTTCATCGGTCATGAGAACGCATACCTCCTGCAGACCCGTGAGACGGTTATAACGCCTTGCATGTTCCTCCGCGGGCATGGCATCTGGATTTATGACCAACTTCCTCCCGTTTAACGCTTCCAGTAAAAGATCAACAATCGTCATAAAGTTCATCACGTAATTGTTAGAACGTTGTAGCAATTTGTGGAACCGTCTAAATATCCGTTTCATTCGCTCCAATTCGGCATTAGACATATGTGCAAGTAAACTAAGAAAATGTGCTCTTCAATCAATCGCATCATCCAAATGTTGAGGATCGTGCAAGTACAGTTGCGCAAACTGAGGACATTCCCCTTCCCCCACAACCAATGCACCAACATGATGATAGATCGGACCTTGAGCCCAAAGTTGGCCCTGCAATCCTTGAACACAATCGATCAGTTGCTTTAACCACGAGGATGCGAGGGATACACTATTATTGATTATCCTCGCATTTTTTCGAACGAATCGGCCGTCGGGAGCTTGAGACGTTCAAATGGAAAAAAACTCATGCTCCGGAGACCATTCGCGAGGCCATTCCGACAGAGGACAACGTCTTGCACCTTTTCTGCAGCTGCGTTGCCACTTGTATGGGCCCCCGTACGCGTATAAGAGTACGGATCCGTACTCGTATGCAAGGGGCCCCGTACGACTTTTTTTTTTTTTTTTTTTACCTGGCCTTTTCGGTTAAGTTCGGTCTACTCCATGGAGTCTGAAAACCTGAAAACCTATGAATCCCCCGCGGTCATGACCGCGGGGTCAATCTCGGCACGCGATCTGGATCACAACCGCTGAGGTCGGCTGCGGGTGGGGGGCGTGGTCCCGATTTTGGAATATTTTTTTTTCCTATTAAAAAAAAAAAAAAAAAAATAAAGCATATGGGTTTGTAGGGTTTGAAAATACCTACAAGCGCATATTTTGTTTTTTGGATTATGAAGTGTTTTTCAAATTAAAAAAAAAAAAGAAAACTAAAAATTAAGTATTTTAATCAAAAGAAACGTAATAAAAATATATATATATATATATTTTCGTGTGTGTGTGTGTTTGTGTGTGTGTGTGTGTGTGCATGTGCGGGGGGGAAGGGCGACCCCTTCCCCACCGATGAATCAATCAATCAAAAAAAAAAAAGTAAAAAAAAAAAATCAGTTGGTTGGACCCGCGTGTGTGTGTGTGTGTGTGTGTGTGTGTGTGTGTG